CCCATTCAATTGCTAAGTAGGTCCAACTCTGCTTAATGCCTGATATCAAGTGTTTGAAGATGGAATGATTGAAAGCTCCAGACTCATTTCTGTTTCTCTGGAATCATAATTGTTAGGGCCAAGATAAGGCCACTGTATAGATGTGAAGATATTTTTTGCAACATGCTATGCTTTAGAGTGAATTGCTTAGCTGAAACCTTAACTGATTTTCCTTATTGTTCAAGAAACTGTTATAGGAACAGAATTTAGAGAAACTGACTGGTTCAGAAGAGTCAAGGCACTGAGACAAGGAGGCATATTAAACTATACAGCAAAGAGATAACTGGAGATGATACTATTTTACTAGCTGAAAGTAAAGAAGACTTAGAAGAGTTCATTATGAAAGTAAAAATGAAAAGTGAAAAATCTGGGTTAATACTAAATATCAAGAAGACAAAAATAATACAATCTGTACACTTAATGAATTTACAGTTGATGGTAAAGATGTGAAGGTGACAGATACCTTTGCCTTTTTGGGCTCTAGAATAGATAACACAGACAGCATACTGGGAAAGGAAAAAGAGATTAATCTGATGAAGGAAGGCTTAGACAAGATAATGAAAATTAAGGACATTTAAATGACAACATAAGATCAGAATAATTAAAGTAACAGACTTTCCATTTGTGATATATGACTTATCACAGTACTATCACATACTTATGATAGTAGCAGAACATGATGCTTTTAATTTGCTATCACAATGTACTGGTCCCAGTGACTCTTAAGTATAGTTAGAACATATTTATTGCAATGGTTCCTGCACTATTTGTACTAATGCTAGAGTAACATAGTTACCACTTCCTTTCCCAGATTCAAGATATTTTGTGATTGTGAAGCACTTACATAGTTCTCAAACAGCAAGTGCTTTCAAGTATGGTTACTATTTTTATGTTTAAATTAATGGGTACTTTAGTTTGGCAGATTTTGTGATCTTTGACATAGGCTTAAGAGAACAACCACAGTTTTGTTCTGCAGGTGATTCCCTTGGAAATAATGAATGGCTGGAAAAAGTTGACGAGAAAGCATTTTTTCCAAACAAAACTCATTATCAAAGGGAGCTTCCTTTTGCCTTAGTTTTTATGGTTTGGCAAACGGAAAATGAAAATAAACCAAGCTGAATCCTGTAAAGAGTGATACCAATTGGTATGCAGAAGACACTTCTGAAAAATCAGAACACAGCAGATTAGCCAGTTATCTCTTGGTGTTCCATTTTTTTAATTACAGATGGGGAAAATAATTCTTTCTACAGTGATGCAAAACAATTTCTGTTATGAAAATGGGGCTGGCGAAAATGAAGTAATTATATTCCAGACCATCTTTCATACTACAGAGAAGTCAAAATGCCACTGAATTAAAACACACAAGCACACACAGAACACGGGACACTTTCTAGAATAGTCCAGAGTTACAATCAATGTAAAGCCATATATTCTACCATGTTTACCTCAGGGAAACACCATTTTTTATTATGTCACTTAACAGCTGGACAATCATTGATTTCAAAACAACAATTCCTTAATTTCTTACATCTTAAGTATTTATTTCCCCTACTTAAATCCTGCTCTGCAGCTTCATCTTGCTAAAGGGTGTATGTGTGTGTGTGTGTGTGTATTCCTGGAAAGGATGAGTGAAGAACATCAACAGATTGGAAGAGATCAGTCTACATCCAATACCAAAGAAAGGAGACTTTATAGAATGTGCATCTATCATATAATATCCTTAATTTCACATGCTAACAATGCGTAACAAGGATCATCCAATGCAGGTTATAGCCCTACATGGAAAGGGAAATGTGAGATGCTCAAGCTGGTTTTAGAAAGAATTAAAGAACAAGAGACATTGCTGATGCCTGCTGGATAATTGAGAAAGCCAAAGAAAACCAAAAAGAAGTCAATATGTGCTTCATTGATTAGAGAAAGGCTTTTGATTGTTGACCATGTCAAGCTTAGGAAAATGGAATCCCAGAACACCTCATTGTCCTCATGAGAAGTCTATCTACAGGTCAGGAAGCCACAGTTCAGATAGAACATGGCAAAACAGAATGGCTCCATATTGGCAAAGGACTGAGACAAGGCTATATACTATCTTCTTATTTATTTAATCAATATGCTGTATATAGAGGGAAGCTGGTTTTGAAGATGACATGATTATAAAACTGGAGGAAGAAACATCAATAATGTGTGCTACTTTGACGATACTACAGTTGAAAATGATCTGGATGTTCTAGTAATGAAAGTCAATAAGCAGAGTAAAAAAGGGACTAAGATTAAATATAAATAAGACCAAACTAATGACTTCAGGTACAGCAAGTAGCTTTAGAACTGACAGTGAAAATATTGAAATGGTGGATAGCTTCTGCCCTTTAGGATCAATTATCATCAGTAAAGGAACTAGCAGTCAAGAAATACGCTACATTGTCTGGGTATAAAGCCATGCTTTTGTTTCTTATAAATGAGTGTTACTGGGAAAACAAAAGGTAAGTTGAATTCAATGAGAATTTAAACTGATCTAAATTTAAACTAAATTATGTAGCAAAATAAGAAGAGATAGGGTCAAGAATGAATGGGTGCTGAATGACTTTGGACTGAATACAAAAGTGAGGGACTAGTATAAAACAAGATGTTTGGTCATATAGAGAGAATGAGTGAGGACTAAAGCATGAAACTAATATATGAAGGAACAGTTAATAAGTGAAGGAAAAGAAGAAAAAGGGTGGAAAAGTCATGACTGGCTGGAGGTGATAAGATCCTCAGAAAGAGAGAGGTGAGAAATTTAGCGAACTAAAGGTAATGCATGAAGTAGTGTATGGAATAGAAGTAAGTACAATGTGCAGGTAGAACAGTATAGAGAAGCATGATATATGTAGGGTGTTAGCTTAAAGTAGATTAGTTATTTTATTTTTCTTTACTTATTTTTTGGCTTTAGTTTCTTTAGCTTAGTATTTCTTACTTTTTTTCTGTGCTTTGCATAGATCTGGACAGACACCACCCTACTGGTGTTTTGAAAGGACTTGAAGACCTGGTTCTTCTCCCATGCCTTTAGTGAGGTGAGTGAAGCCCCCTTGGATTCTTTTTTCAGTTTCCACCTTATCTTTTATTCCTTATTTTGTTTTTTTATTGTAATTGAAGGGCATTATTTTGATACACAATTTTATATTCTATATATACACAATTTTATATTT